AGAACGTCCGCACAGCAGCGTACTGGCGTGCAAACTTGGAATCCCCGGTTCGTTTCAGCGAAGGTCTTACATCTCTGCCCGAGTCGATCGGCTATTGTACGTTTGTTGAGCTCGGGCCACATGCGGCCCTAAAGATGCCTATCATGCAGACACTCGGAAAGTCTACCTCCTATCTTTCCACCCTTAATCGTGGCCAAGACTCTTCAGTTTCCCTACTCAGCTTCGTTGGTCAACTCTTTGCCCAGGGCTTCAGAGTAGACTTCTCAAAACTCAACCATACATACGACCATGGCACACCTAGGTTCATCTATGACTTACCGACGTACCCTTGGCACTACGAACAACTACCGTGGAATGAATCTCGAGTTAGCCGAGAATGGCGCGGTACCACACATCCGAGACACGAACTCTTAGGTAGGGAAGTGCCAGGCGGAAATCAGACCACATTTGGATGGAGGAATCTCTTGCAGCTGGAAAATGTTCCATGGTTACGTGACCATCAGCTTGGCGACACAGTTGTCTTTCCAGCCACCGGATATCTGGCCATGGCTGTGGAGGCACTAATGCAAAAGAATTTGCCTGTTGGAGAGGATGGTGCAGACATATCTGTGGCGCTTCGACATGTCGACTTGCTGAAGGCTCTTCTATTGCCGGAGCAGGGATCAATCGAACTATATACGGAGCTGCGTCCGCTCCCCATCTCAAACATTAGAGATTCCAGGGTTTGGTGGGAATTTCAGATCTGTTCCATCTCTCAAGACGGCCCCACTATTCGGGCAAAGGGTTCGATAAGGCTAGAGTCCATAGCTTCCAGCAGCACAGAGCTCCCATCCAGAGATTGTCGCCTGGCGCCCCAGTCGAGGAAGCTGTGGTATCAGAGTATTTCTAATGGCGGCCTTGCATTTGGACCAGCCTTCCAACACATGCATGACATCCACACGCCTGACCCCAAGGGTGTACTGTATGCGGAAGCCCGGACACGAACCCTTGCCCCCTCTATCGAGGGGGCACAGGCCAACCCTCGGTACCTCTTACATCCTGTATTGCTGGATAATCTCTTCCAGGTTGCCCTTATTGCGTGCACCGGTGGGTTTATCCACTCGATGGTTGGTAAAGTACCGACTAGGCTCGGAAGTGTAAATATCCGTCTGCCCACTAGTCCCACTGACGAAGGCACAATTTGCTCTGCGTCCAAGGTGACCGGCCAGGCTACCAACAAGATCGACAGCGTCTTGCTCGATAGCCGGAAGCAGCTCATAGCGCATTTCAAAGACGTTGACGTGACTGCGTACATAGGAAACGAAAATATGGAGGTGCGGCATCCTATAACACGAGTGACCTGGAAGCCCGACATTAGCCAGCTACACGACAGTGCGACTTTCTCATCAGCGATTGATCATGTTCTCTCAACATCTGATTTGGGGTCGTTCGGATCCAAGGCCAACCTGCTGGCAGCCCTTGACTTGGCTGTCCATAAGAACCCTGACGCCCATATCCTATGCCTCTCGACGGACTTATCCCTCATAACGTTGGCCTTCCTGGAGGTTCTTGATGCACCAAGTATCTACAGACGTTTCAATTCATTTTCTCTTGGGCGCCTGGCCTCTGACGGTGGACTTGAAGTTGCCGAGGTCTACAATTATGTCGTGCCATTGGGGCTTCGATCCGTGCAGTATCAGAAGGCATCAGCAGGTGACCAGTTCGGTTTGGTAATTCTAGGTGACGATATCGCTATGATGGACAGGTTAGCGTCCCACACAGATGACCAAACAGTCTTCCTTGCGCCTCATGTCCACAGCAGCTGGAAGTCTGATGGGCTTTCAGTCCTAAACTCTCGATCGGAAACACCTCGCAATGTGCAGCTTATTCGCCCAGCACTGGCAGTGAACGCGTGTTCTACTCCGGATTTCGACAACGTTCTACTCATCTGCCGGTCATCAACACATCCTTCCGATGGACACTTGGCTAGTCATTTGAGTGAGGATCTAGGCATGCCGATCAAGCGGATGGCTTTAGCAGACCTAGGCGACTCGCCAATCCCTCCTAACTCACTGGTCATCTCTACAGCTGAGCTGGAAAGGCCAATCCTTGCTGGCACCGTTCAACAGGAAGAGTTTGACGGCTTCAAACAGATAATCGAGCACGCCGCGTGGATTGTCTGGATTACAGGATCCGGAGTACACGAAGAATTCAACCCCACGCTTTCCTTGTTCGCAGGCTTTGCTCGCGCTGTCGTGATCGAGCAGCCCTCAACTAAAATCTTCTCGCTCGAGTTGGATCCAACAACCGACGCTGCAGTGATTTCACAGGACATTACGAGAATACTTCGAAACGGCACGAAGCCGATCAACGATTGCGAGTATATCGACAATGGCTCCCATCTCCTAATCAGCCGTATAGTTCCCGACGAGCGCATGAATAGAGAATTCCGTACACGACAAGACGGCCTCTCATCACCTATGCCACTTGGGAGTGTTGGAAATGCGGGCTTGTCTGTGCGGAGGCCGGGACAGCTGAGTACGGCACAGTTTGTGAAACGACCTTACACAGGCCCTGCGACGCTGGGCGCAGATGATGTGGTTGTCAAGGTCTCTTGTGTCGGTCTCAATGCCAAAGATGTGAATGCACTGGCAGGACATGTCCAGACTACGGATGCACGGTGCAGCTTGGAATGCACAGGTCATATTGTCGCTACCGGGCCTACCGTTAGGAATCTCAGTATCGGTGACAAGGTCGCCGTCATGTATCCAGGTTACTTTGGCACATACGAGACTGTTCCGGCCTGGAGTTGTGTTAAGCTCCGCGATGGCGAGGACCTGCGCACCATGGCATCTGTTCTGATGGTCTTCTCCACGGCTATCTATGCTCTTTACCACCGAGCTAATCTGCAGCCTGGAGAGTCTATTCTCATTCATTCTGCCGCAGGGGGTGTCGGTATTGCCACAATACAAATAGCGAAACTCATAGGTGCAGAGATCTTCGCAACCGTTGGAACCGACGAAAAGAAACAATACTTAATTGAGCACTTCGGTCTCGAACCGGACCATATATTTAGCTCACGCGACTCAAGCTTCGCTTCGAGCATCAAGTCCATTACAGATGGACGCGGAGTTGACGTCATTCTAAATTCGCTACTTGGGGAACTCCTACACGAGAGCTGGGACTGCCTGGCAGACTTCGGCCGCTTTGTTGAAATCGGCAAGCGAGACCTTCTTGACCAGGGTCGTCTGAACATGGAAAGGTTCTCCCGCGGAACGACGTTCACAGCGTTCGATATGAGTATGTTGGCCGAATCAACATCTCCAGCACAACACCGCGTTTACCAGGGTCTAGTGGCTCGCGTCGTCTCGCTGCTGCGAAGTGGCGATATCCGGCCTATTGAGCCTCTGTCCGTATTCAATGTTTCGGATATCGTACCGGCGTTCAACCACTTCAATAACGCGAAGCGCATGGGTAAGATTGTTGTATCCTTCGAGGATCAAACACAGATGGTACCGGCCGTACATGAGAAGTTCTCGACGCAGCTAGATCCCCATAAGAGCTACCTACTGGTTGGCTGTCTTGGCGGTCTAGGCCGCAGTGTATCCAAATGGATGATGAGCAGAGGAGCACGTAAATTCATCTTTCTCGGCCGTTCAGGACTACAGAAACCAGCCGCCAAGCGCTTGGTCAACGAACTAGAAGAAGGGGGCGCGCAATGCACCGTGATACAAGGCGACATCACTAACTACACAGACGTCCACAGAGCCGTCGCGGCGGCATCAACCCCCCTTGGAGGTGTCATCCAAGCAGCTATGGGCCTCAACGAGGCCATCTTCAAACACATGCCGCGCGAATACTGGCTCAACGGCACTGAAGCCAAAGTCCAAGGTACATGGAACCTGCACAACGCTATCTCCGCCTTAGACAAAGAGAAAGAACTGGACTTCTTCGTCCTGACCAGCTCTATCTCCGGGAAACTGGGCACAGCCACAGAAAGCAACTACTGTGCGGCCAACAACTTTCTAGACGCGTTTGCGCGGTATCGTCGTGGACTGGGTCTGAAAGCCGTATCTCTTGGTCTGGGGATGGTCTCTGAGGTGGGGTATTTGCATGAGCACCCGGAGATTGAGGACTTGCTTCTCCGTAAAGGGATCCGGCCTCTTACGGAAGATGAACTAGTTCAGATTTTGGATTTTGGACTCACTCAACCTCCTACATCGCTCCATCCTAATGATCTCATGCCCCAGTCACATATTCTGACTGGGCTGGAGGATACGGGTCTACAGGGCCACCGGAAACAGGGATATGAGGGGTATTGGCAGTTTCTGAGCGATGCGCGGTTCGATGTGTTGACATGTGCGCTGAGGCGCAATACGGGGAAGTCTGCACAAGGGAATAGTACGCAAGCATCGGTTATCCAGGAGGCGATGGCTTCGAATGATCAAGAGCAGGTTACGGATGCGGTGAAGGTTGTTCTGGTGAACAAGCTTTCTAATATCATCCTCACACCGGTGGATAAGATTGAGGTCCAGAAGCCTTTGTTGGATTTTGGTATGGATAGTATGCTGGCGGCGGAACTCCGTCAGTATATCTTTGGTACCATGGGGGTAGATGTGGCATTCTTGGATCTGATGGATAAGAAAACCAACATCTTGGGTCTGGCAAGGGTGGTGGCAGACAAATTGACCAACACGAGTACGTGACTTGATTGATAGGTACAACACAATGAATAAATAGAATTGGGTCAACTGAAAGCATCCCGCTCATTGGTGCGGGCCATGTCGAGATATCTATCGGTACCAGCGAACAGTTATGCCGAGGCATTGGAACTGTAGGTTATTAGAGATGCTATGATGGGGTTAAATTGAGTGATGTAATACTACAAAGAAACAAGAAGATATCGGGAGGGAAATTACAAAAGGAAAGGTAAATCAAAGCCTATCTAATAGAGCAAGGAAGAAACAAAAAGCCAACGAAACAGAAAGACCCTAAGGGATTCTGCATGTGTCCCAGAGACCTTAGTGCTGATCTATGTCGCATTCCTCTACCGGTTCTTCCTGGCCGTAAAAGACGACACGTTTAGCTCCAGTTCGCTCTTTAATGTCGGCAATTAGGTTGTCGATGTGAGTGAAAACAACAATCTGTCCCGACACTTGGCCACCAAAGGCCATTCCTGCTATGTATCCCCTCTCGTCATACATAAGTGAGCCCGAGTCACCGGGTTTGAAGAAATCGTGCTTGATGTCGTAAACCACTGAGTGTTCGTCTGTTGTCCGTAGTTCGCCGCTTTTGGCAGCTGTAAAAACTGTTGTTGCGAGCTTGCTGTACTTTCCCCAAGTCACGCCAGTTTTGCAACCTTGTTTAAGAAGATTCTTTCCATCAGGCAGCACGATACCGGCTTTGATGTGTCCTATACGCGGCATGGGTGCACGCTCTCCGAGAGAGCTGAATGGGGCAAACTAGATCTACTTTCAGCATTGATCAGGTAAGCCGAGGATAGCAAGAAGAGTTATACCTGATTTGAAGGAAATGCACGAATTGGATGGGGTTTCAGCAGTGCCCAGTTCATAAAAGCTGTCGTCTTTCAAGTATCGACGCCAGAGTCAGCTTGCTAGAGCATAATTAGGCCTCCCGACCACCCCCACCTTTCCCCACATGATGCTATAGGAACTTAAAATGTGCGATTGTTTACCAGACGCTCTGCTGGCTCTATCATTAGATCATAACCCGAGCACTTCAATGTACGGTTGTACTACGTCTAGAGACATGTCTACATCCGGGAAGAGTCAAGTAATTGGTGTCATCGGTCCCACAGGGTTTGGTGGCTCATACCTCACCGTCGAGCTCATTCGCAGGGGACACACAGTCATTGGAATCTCGCGCAATCCGCAGTCCTTCGGCACACACCCACTATATACGCCAAGGATCGTGGACATCGAGACTGCTAGCATTGACGATCTGGCGAACTCCTTCCGCGATCTGGAGGTCTTGGTAAGCGAGTATGGGCCGCACACAAAAGGAGCAGACGCGCTTCAATACAGTAAGCAGAATCTCACGCCCCTCCGACCTGAAACGCTTTTGTCTCTTCTCACACCATTACGCATAGTGCCATACGTGGAGGTCGTCAGGAAACTCATCCTTGCTGTCAAATTGGCAAACACCAAATACTTTGTGTTTGTGGGAGGCGCCGGCAGCCTCGTGGTTCCTGGAACACACGAGTCTCTAGCGGATTATCCGGGTTTCTTCTATGCCTATCGACGACAGATGGCAGAGAGCGATGCCCATGTGAAGTATATGGAGGAGCGGCTTGGTCCGATCGGCGCTGTCTTGCGGTCGTACCGAAACGCTCGTCTGGCAGAGAAGTCCGGTCGAGCTACCCCAGAGGACATGGGCACGATACGGACGTATGAAGAAGGTATTCGGAAGAATGATCGAGCGTCGGATTATATCAAAGCCGGGAGAGCGTGTCTGTTGTTTTTCGAGGGGAACACTTCCTTTCCGTGGACGTTCGTCTCGCCTAGTCCTCTGTATCGGCCGGGACCACGGACCGGGCGCTACGAGATAACCATCGACTACGTCCCGCTGAAGGGCGCCCAGCAGGGGGGAGATGTATTAGATGGACGCCTGAGGGGCATATCAGCCGCAGACTTGGCTGTCGCCATCGCGGATGAGATTGAGAATCGGCAGCTGATTCACAGGCACTGGACGGCCTCTGCTGACTTATCCGATGACACTATCTATCCTAGTTATGTAACTGCAGAAGATGTCTAGGCGGTGGCGTGTCAATGTAATGCTGGAATCTATCATGTTTTCTGGCTGGAGCCTGTCATACATCTGCCAAACAACCTAAAACCCTTGTATGGAAACTGTATATACGGAGTGGTGGTAATAAGTAAATACACACGTGCAGCAACTACTGAGCTCCGGGTCTTGTTAAACTGAGACCTTAAAGAGGTGGAAGAAAGAAGGGAAACCGGGCAGATCGGAGTAGTAGTAGTAGTGGTGGTGGTAGTAGTAGTACATGTTTAATCTCAAGTAAGCCGGGTTCTCACATAGAATACCCCAAAGAACTCTTTCGGCCTGACCCAGCAGACACAAATGTGTATTTCCAGCTTGCTAGTAAGAGTTCTACTCAAGCCCTTTGTACAGTCTTCAAGCAGACGCCAGGCCACAAGGAATCAAAGCATAAATTCAGTGATCAGACGATTGAGAGACTTGCCAATGACATTACTTTCAACGTACCAGATCAAGTTGACAGCCCGACTGTAGTTTTGCTGTTCCTATGGGAGCAACTCGACCTCTGGCCGTGTTACTAGTGTTGAATACTAGATAGCGAAAGACAAAGACTAGGAGTCAACTGAAGGGACAGGGCTCTAGGGAACGGGAATGACGTTGAGAACCACGAGAGGACATGTGCTTACTGGAGAGGCAAGGGGGCATAACACTACAACTACATTTGAATTCGGGATAGTACTAACCAAACCTGGGTCGTCAGTTTGGATGTTGGGTTGATGTTTGAGGCGATTCACTATGTTTTAGGTTCTTTCGAAGTAGCTGTCGGGCAATATGGACCGTCCTCTACGGAGTACATATATCGATAACTCTTAACCATTTTGCAGGGTCCTACGATTTAACCCCACCAGCTTCTCCCTGCATTGCCGTTCTCATTCCGTGAATCTCGAACATGAGAATAATCCTGCAGATAATAGTGGAAGCTAAGTAACGAGCAACGACCCCCAGCGCATCTTGTGTGCTTATAAATACAATACTCGAAAAGGTAAGGGTGCCATAGATAAGATGCAGAATAGTGCCTGTGGAAGTGCACCAAGAAGTACAGGTGAATGCGTAGGACTGTCGTTTGAACGTGACACTTGCCTTGCCCTGGTCGGCGCTCAGGCGGAACTCCTGGCCAACTATTCTCCGGGATTTTCCTAGGCGAGTAATAGGAGGGTCGTCTGAGGGCTCGTCAAAACGAATGCGAAGCTTCACACCTATAGTACCCAGTATATCTAGGATAAGGGCGCTAAAAGTCCAAAGTAACGGATGAAAGGTTGTTTCCGTCGAGAAGCTACACAGCGTTTGAATACCGAGTTGCCAACTTGTGTGCGCGACATTAGCGACCGCACCCATCGCCAGCAAGTATTGAATAGGGATAATCGCAAATCGCCATATTCCCCAGTTCTGTAGAGCCGGTAAGAGTTGAATAGAGTTCGAACTACCGCAAAGTAGTTGTAAGGGGTCCCGGTACTCGAACGTCCGAATTGGTGAAACTGCTGGGGCACCTGCCGCCAGCAGCAAAGCAAGAAATGGTCGACGTTGCGCTAACAAACCAGTTTCGACTGTGCTTGAACCTGCGAGACTGAGGATTGTTGGAAGCAGGCCTAACAGGACGCCGGCAGCAGCCATATTCGACTTGATCCATTCTGGAGCATTTTCAAGGATACATGTTTCCACCGCTTCTGTTCGACAGCCAACACCGACCGACATGCTGGCCTTCATCCACTCCGGGGCATTTTCTAGGCAAGCCTCTACTGTTTCCGCTTGGCAGCTCACACAAGAGTTGTACGTGGTAGAGTCATTCCGGTAGTATTCGAGCTGCTCACCGCAGTTGCGCAGCATAATAGCATTGAGGCGGGAGCCCAGTTGTGGGTACCATGCCTCGAAATGTTTCATTATGATGAGAATTCGCGTGTTTATGTTGCAGATTTTACCTGGCTGGATTCTTGAATGGTAGTTTGATGTTTGGGTGCCGGCTGGCGGGTTAAGTGGTGAATAGTGGAACCGATAGTATTATGTGGATGACTTGCCCCTCATGGATCCAGTTGTTTCAATCCCTATAGGACCAGAGCAATATGATGCACAATATGCCAAAGAAAGCCACGTTGAAATCAAAGCGAAGAAAGTATCACACGCAGGCGACACCAGCTTTCTCAACCTCGTCTGTTTGTAAACAACCTATCAATTGTGGGCTGTTTGCTAGGTGATGTCCATTCCTCTAGGATGGGGTAGGACAGAGATTAAAAGTTGTTGGGAGAAGAGCTCTCATATAGAACCGCTTTGACCCTGCAGATCATGTACGTCCTTCGCCTGTGAGTGGCTCTGTTTCATGTGGGATCTACAAGTCGCCGTTCTAAAACTTCGTATTCAGATTGGGGGTTGGTTGCCTTACTAAATACGCGAGGTTGCGGTGGGGTTTTTGCTCCGAGACTTAAGATTTCGGCAGAACCCAAGGTTAGGTTTTGGGTGACAAGGAGCCACCAAAGCAAAATTAAAATAAAGAATGGATTAAATAATAATAAATCAGGCAGGGAAGATGCTACTGGAGTTGTGTTACATGTTCAACAACTTTAAATCTGAACTTATATACACAACCCAGTCACTGACAATATAGTAGTGTATGTATATAATGGTTCGCCTCTGTTAGAGACGCCAGTATATTAGAGAATGACCCTGTCTTGTTAGCTTATTCACGCCCAACTTCAAGGAAAGGAACGAATTCCTTGGCAAGACACTGTTCACACCAGAGACTGCAGGATAAGCGAACAATACCTATCCAACCTTTAATTTCGGGCACCTGAGCCAAAGCAATGCTCTTACTTGGATACTACTAACTGCAATGAGACAGAGAGTGCAACTTTCAACAAAGAATCCAACGTCAGCATTATTGTGCAGACTCAGTTCTCTTTTCCTTTAGTTACTTCAAGGTAGGAATGATTACTTGAGAGTGCAGGTTCGACTTAATGATATTTCTTGATTCCATCCCTGAGGGCTTAAATATGAGTATCTGTCCAATTAGTCTATGTCGCGAGAAAGTTCGTGCACCGCCTATCACACATTTGTCATCGTGCTTTCGTATGTTGGAGCACCTGGCAAAGTCAGTCAGAGGTAAGAGATACCATGTAAGCAATATTAGGTCGTACATCCGGCTGTACAGATCTTGTACACTGGCAAGCAGGCCTACCAGATTGTCTAGAACCAGAAGCTTTCGCATCCTGTAAATGAGTAACCTGAAGCGGAATTTTGAGATCAACGTTCTTGATCCGTTTGGGCTTGAAATTTACGTGAAGTAATAAACTATATGACCGTGCAACTAAGCTGCCATGGAAGGTAGGCAGTAATGTTCGCGGCGGCTTAACCATGATAACGATAGCTGCTCTGCCAAACCTACCCCGGGCGTTCAGGAAGTGAGAAGCAAGGTTGCCAGGGTGCTCACGCAGTTCCAACTGGTCAGATATATTGCGGCTTAGTGTAAGACCATCATCTATTGAACATCTGTATTTTGGCGGGGAGGCAAGAATATTGAGTGGATGGTATTCCCACTCAAGGGTGTGGTGCTGTTCACGCCTTAAATAGATGATGGTATCATAAAGCCGTAGAGTGGATGCCCTCGCTAAAAAAGCTTGTTTTGGTAAAGCAACCAATGGTTCTGCAGAATAGAAGGTCTTTTCCCGTATGGATGAAGAGATCTCAACCTATATATTTCTAAGTCGCGGCACGGAAGAATATGGAACGTCCAGATAGAAATTACAATGGGTAGAGGGAGTTGAAGTATCAGACGACTGTACAAGCGGTGGTGGCTCTTCCGCGTGCGCTTTGTTTGAATCACCTCTGCTGCGAAAGGGGATACTTGATAATGGTTTCGACACGCGCAGCACAAACTCATTAGGGAATTCAAGGTTCTTGACAGGTGGGCAGGCCTGCGTAGATGGTATCACCTTAGTAAGCTCCGTCACCTGGGCCGTTCTATATTTTTCTAGGTTGAAAGGGGCTTGATAGTCAGCAATAGCGCGAATTGAGTCAGTCACTGAGATTGCTGCAGCTGAGGCAGATCGGGAAGATCTTGTCCCGTGGAACGATGGAGTGAATTCTTTCAAAGATGGTATCTTGTCGGTGGATGCTGCACCAGAACCTGCTCGCTGTAAGGATGGCAAGCAGAATAGACTGTTTGGTGTGGTCTCAGGCTTGGGACAATCTATGTCGTCCGGTAAAACAAAGATAAACGGGATACGGTAGACTGCGGTCCCATCGTTGTTATATTCTTCCTGAACCGAATGGAGGGATCGCTCGTATTTGAGAGCAACAAACTACATTGTTACTCAAGGAATTATACAAGATTCGAGAACACTCACTATGTCTTGGTCTTGTGTTATTACAATGTCATCTTGCACCGGAACGTAGGACATTACTTGACCATGTACACGGTAGCCAACAACGCCGGTTGATTGTACTCCTTAAGAAAAATTCTTATTAAATCCTTCAAGGTCCTATTCACATTCAACCAACCTTGAAGCGTGACTAAGAACCGTCTGACGTGCAATAAAGACTTGGCTGATACAATGATCTGGCAACTTACGGCGTCTCCTGGCCGGTATCACCCACATGGGTTCAGGTCTGAAGAGCATGCTCTACATCTAGTCAAGACGATTCTAAGATCGATTTGGCCTTCATTTCCATCCCTGTGTGCCATAATCGGGAGTGAAATGGTGCAGTGGTATGGCTGAGTATAGTGTTTCAAGTTACGCTCACTCGGAAGCTGGGTGATTTGATTGATTCCTCGGATGTATGTACGCAGCCTAAGGCTGCATATAGCCTCGCTGGGTAATCCAGGCACACCCTTTTCTCCCCCCAAGTTCTGAGTGGTTTACATTTTGTCCATCTTCACAATACCTAATCAATTAGGCTAATCAAGAATATGTTTTTAGTATAGCTCTTTCAATTCGACAAGGATATCATATATATTACTCAGTGTATACGGAGTACGCTAAGCTAATTTAGTATCTATTTATTTAAGGTAAATATCGATCTAGGGGCAAAAGAGCTTAGTGTTGGGCTAAAACAAAAGTAATATAGGCGGTACAAACCAATAGAGCGGCAGCCACCAGGCGAAAAGACCACTCACTCACTCTTGTTACCGTATCCAGAGTTACTCCGTATGCTGAGATTAAATTCTGCCAGTTAAAAATCTATTCAGGTAGGCGGGATAACTAACTAGTTAGTACGGGTATTATGTAAGAGCTAAACCTAATTAGGAACATTGCCCTATGTAGGTGCCGATGGACCCCTAACTAACTAAACCTATTATTAAATGAATGATATGATAAAATCTCTAGAGTGAAACATACTATGTCCTCTTCGGAAGGAAACCATCGATCATTCGAGTTGGATACGAAAATCTGACTATTCTCCATAATCCAACTACCAATAAGACATCTGCATCACATTCTTAACGCTAGTTTCTAGAACCCCTGAGTGGAGAGAACACCGTAATGTTTTGGACATCATCTACCTAGCAGATGAACGAAAGATACATCGAAAGTTCAATATACCGGAAGCTCTATTTGCTGGGAATTTGAATTTGAAGGCATTGAGGGATTCAGGAAAAGTAATCGGGAATCATACTCCTACTAAATATACCGAATGGAGCTTCATATACTCGCCAATTCCAAAGACCATTTACAGCAACAATTACATACATTGAGTGTTAATTCTATGACTATAGCATTTCCCCATCAAAGAATACAACGCAAGTGTCTCCATCCGGTAGATATCGAGAATTGGCACGGGAAAGGGTACGAACTATTCGCAAATTCTAACTAGATTGTCCACGTGGGAAATGTGGAGTCGATCCTAAGCGAGGACCCTATGTGTCAAGAGTGGGTCCCAATCCACAGAATGTCGAGAGGTCAAACTGTAACTAAAGCTGATGCCTGCATAGTTTAAGTTTCAAGATTCAGGGGTAATCGTCCTGAACTACACAGAACTTCACTGGTGACAGGATTGGCCCTGTGCTACAAAAGTATTGGAAAGTAAGGTCACGGTGTAGCTGTTGTACGGATAGTATAAATGAGCTCTAAGATTGCACTATGCTAAATGCCAGAAACTTACTCATTTAAGCCTTGTACTGATCAACGATCTAATCGTACGCAAACCCTGCGGGATAAGGAACGACTGTGTGTGGTTGCAAAGTGGAGATCCTCTCGTTCTCAACAGTTTTCAGTGGAGCTCCTATGTCGGTTTCAATCCCGAACCACGAGTCATTTTTTCTTCTCTTCTTTCAGTTAGCCAGCGTGTAAGGGGCCCACTTTTTACACCAAACTCTATCCAGTGGGCTTGATATCTAGGCCAGATTAGTAGTGTGGTTCGAAATCTGAAACATCGATGAACCTCGCTTAGTACACCAAACCAAGGACTTCCCTTCCCAAATCCCATCAGCCGTTCGCCATATACGTCACAAGGCGTCTAACTTTCGGTCAAACTTCCTATTCAAGTTATTGCAGTCTCACTGAAGCTGACGATACTTCGTGTCACTTAGACGTCAGATATACAAGGGTTACATTCTTCGGGATGGAAGGTCCTTCCGGATGCATGTTCAGTTGCCACCAGACTGTAGTTGTATCTTAAGTTGAAGTAGTAAAAAGTACTAGTCTCGGGAACATTGTATGCTATATAAGTAATTAGTATCTAGGATATCTAGAATTATTTTGTATGAACAGCTTCTTCATGCTTCCCTTCCCTGCTTTATAATATATACGCTGCGTCTATGTGAAAGTTTTACCAACACTAGAATGGCAGGGCTGCGAGGTGATTGTACGCATTATCTTCCACTTTGTGATTGCTCAGAGAACTCCAATATGACTGTTAGCCCACTCGCTTCACCAGAGTATCACAACATG